CTGCCATGCCACCAGTCATCCTGTGCCCTGGTGTGCTGGGAGGTGCCCATGCAGGGCTTAGGGTGGTGTTTCTTCTGGCAAAACCCTCCTCTCCCCACCCAACCTGTTTTTGGCACTCTGGACCCACGCCAGATGGTGACGCCTGTCGGGAAAGGGGCCATGCTGGGGACAGCACCTGGTGGCACAATCCAGGTGCGCCCTGCCTTGCGGTGGCTCTCTGGGCTGAGGCGGAGAAGGAGGCAAAGCCATACTCTACTGAGGGAATGACTCCAGCTTCAAGTAACCCAAATCCTGCAGGTTTTGCTTTATATGGTGTTCTTTGATTTATTTTTTTTCAAAAGGACATAGTATGCATCTGTCCTTCAAAAAAACATCATCTGTTCCAGCCCGCTGCATGCATTGCCCATTACACCATGTTGCCAAAAGGCATCGGTGCCAGGCCGTTTGCCAGCACAGTGCCAAAGAAGCTGGCGTGGCAGCTGCTGGGGGTTCACCAGCTGCTGAAAACAACAAGCAGGGGCTTTTATTATTGCTTGGTGCCTCTGGAAAACTTGGGCGTGCTGTTTCAGAGCTGCAGCAGGGCTGGGACTCGCCTCGGAACTGAGCCAGGGGCTCTTTGAGGAGCGAAGCAAAGATTCAGCACGAAGGGATGGATGGTGGGGCATCAGCTGCACTTGCAGCGGGCAGAGCAGCAGCTCCGAGAGGCTGCGCAGCCCCAGGCTGCTGAGGACGGGGTGTCCATGTCGAGGGCTCAGCCCCACGGGCGGCTGCGCGGTGACCCGCAGGGTGTGAAGGCACGGCCATCATGGCGAGTGCCTGATCCCACTCCCTTCTCTCCCGCCCCACAGATGGTGCTGCTGTGGAGCACGGAGCTCTTCCCCTCCCCAGAGGACTGGCAGGACCTGGAGGGTTCTGTCTACAGGCTCGTGGTGATCCTCCTCCGCTGCCTGGCCACCCGGCACCTGCCCCACTTCCTGTACCCAGAGGACAACCTCTTCCAAGGAGAGGCCCTGGACCTCGCTTCTCTCTACCATAAGGTGGAGAACTTTGCCCGGGATTGTGGAGCACGGAGCTCTTCCCCTCCCCAGAGGACTGGCAGGACCTGGAGGGTTCTGTCTACAGGCTCGTGGTGATCCTCCTCCGCTGCCTGGCCACCCGGCACCTGCCCCACTTCCTGTACCCAGAGGACAACCTCTTCCAAGGAGAGGCCCTGGACCTCGCTTCTCTCTACCATAAGGTGGAGAACTTTGCCCGGGATCCCCAACGCTTCCTCCACTTCCATTTTGGCCTCCCTGTGCGCACCGACAGCTGGCAGGCAGATCCTGGCACCCAAGCCCTCCTGCAGCTCCCTGCCGAGGGTGGGTCCTACTGGGAAACAGCCTACTTTGACGTCCTGCTCAGCCAGGTAATGGGGACTGGAGACCTCGGGCTGGTCTCGTGAGGCAGAGTGTGGCAGTGCCAGAAACTGCCTGGGCTGGGTAGCTTAGGATGTGCTAGAATTTGCCCCCCAGAGCCCTCCAGCCCATGGCAGCCACCGGGATACCCAAGCCTGCCGCGGAGGCTGCAGGAGGCTGGTGATGGTGGGGCGTGGGGCTCGAGCAGAGCGGGGTGCCCTCTCCCCTCACTCCCCGTCTGTCTGCGCTTAGTTCCAGGTGTACCGCATCCAGGATGGCTCACGCTGCTCAGCAATGTCCCGGCTCCTCTCCAAGATCCAGCGAGAAATTGCCCAGCAGAGCTGAGCAAGACCCTGCTGCCATCCCATCCGGATGTCTCAAAACTTGAGGGGGTGCAAGGCGAGATACAGGGCCGGGGAGCAGCACGGTGCCATGTCGCTTTATTGAGGAAAGATGGCACTTGGGAGCAAGGGCCTGTCTGCTGCAGCTGGGTGGGGATGCATGGCCTCTCGGCTGCCCTGCTAGAGCTGGGTGCAGGGATGGGTGTTTCGTCTCTGGGGGTGATGGATGGCATGCTGTGCTGCTGGGCTCTGGTGCAGGGATGGCTGAGGGTGATGGTGGTGGGAGAGGAAAGGACCCGTGGTTGGATCCTGCATCCAGCCCTTGTATCAGCTTGCAAGGGGCTGCCGTGCCCTGGGGCCAGGGGAAAGGGAGCAGCTGGGGGCCAGGCCAGCAGGGTGAGGAGTGACCCCGCACGGGAGACTGGGAAAAGGGGTTTTGAGGCATGGCCTGCATCTGCTGAGCTGCAGCCCTCACCTCCACGTCCCTTCCTCTTCCAGCTTCTCCTTCCTGCTCTGGCTTGGGTTGTTGGGTGTTGCAGCGTTTTCCTGCCAGTGTCCCGGGGAGGCAGCGAAGCCCCTCTGCCTGCCAGCTGCCTTCAGCCAGGCGTGGGGGGGCATGCTGCCCCACCCCACCCCCCCCTTTGCAGGGGTGCTCACAGCCTGCTGCGGCGGCGGCAGTGCCCGAAGGCATCTCGCAGGGCACGTAGCACACGGTCCACGTTGCCGCTGGTTGAGTTGCAGCCCATGAGGCCGATTCGAAGGACCTGGGAGGAGAAGAGTCAGCGTCTCCCTGCGGCACCCACCTTCGTGGCCGTGCCCCGGCGCCCCGTCTCCCTGCGAGCAGAGTGGCCGGCGGCAGAGCGCAGTCACCAGCACGGAGCTGGGGGCATGCGAGGAGCAGCCACATACGTGGCCAGGGGTGAGGGCATGGGCACAACTCCCTGCTCGCTCCTATATGACACGTGGTTCCTCTAAAGATGTGTCACCCACTAAAGATGCGTCACCAACTGACTACGTGTGCAGTGATTCAGTTACGCGCGATGACTGCGTGCGGTTAGGAGCCGCTATGTGTTGCGGCAGGCGATGGGATGCATCTAGCCTTGTTTGTCCCACCAGTTAATCATGGGATGTGCTACTGATGGATGTGGCCGCAGCTGGGTTTAGTGTCTGGCCATGGGCAGTGGGAGGGGAGGACGCTGCCCACCTTGCCCACCGAGGGTCCCAGGCCCCCAGCGATCTCAATGTTGTGTTTGTCCATGAGGAAGGCTGTGATCTCCTCCCAGTTGTAGCCCTCCGGCACCCTGACAGTGGTGATGGTGGGAAGCCTCACCTTCTGGGGAAGAGAGAAACCAGGCTAAATGTGCAGCTTCTGGCTGTGGCCCCGTGCCCTGGTAAGCCCAGCAGCCTGCCAGGAGAGAGCATCACTGTGGGCGCAGTTTTTTTTTTTTTTTCACGTCTCCAGCCACACAGGGCCATGTCCTCACGCTGCCCCTGCACCATAGCAGTGGGCTCACCCTGCACCCACCTCATCCTTTACGAAGAGCTCAAGGCCCAAGTCGCGCAGCCCCTGGCACAGCTGGGCACAGTTGACCCGGTGGCGCTCCCATGAGCTCTCCAGGCCCTGTGGGCAGAGAGAAGGGAGAAGGTCCATGCTGCTAACGAGGACCTCCTGGCACCCGCCGCTCCCCTGAGCCCCACCGGCACTGCCAGTGCCACCCCACCTGCCCGGTGCTACTCACCATCTCCACCAGCATGGCCAAGCCTTCCCGCAGGCTGAAGAAGCTGTTGATGGGTGCCGTGTGGTGGTACCTGCAAAACCCAAGGGGCACCTGTTCGGCGTGGCCCGTGGCAG